GTCCGAGCGCAAGTTCAAACAACAGCACCAGGCGCCAAAGCAGCCACCCCGCAAGGGCGATGGCAAGCAAAAGAAAAAGGGAAGTCGCAGTTGACTAGGCGACTTGAGAACCACCCTAAAACTAGTCCAAAAGAGAAAAGAGAAGCTGCATAAGCAGCATAGAAAAAGTAGCCATAGTAGTTTTCCGCTGGTCTCGCTGTTTGGAACAAGTTCATCATCCGAATCTAGCGTATTTTTTTACGTTTTTCGTGTCGTCATCAGAGTCATCAGCTTCCGACCTAGATCCACCACAAGCTGCTGATACAGCAGAGAGCCTTGCTCTATCAAGTTCTTCTGCACCTTCTGCCAGCGAAAACCCATCTAGACCAAGTAGTTCACAGAGCAGTAGTTCTTCTCCAACCGCAGACAATAGTGGTTCATCATCATCCGAGTAAACTGGCAAGGGCTCCCTTGGGGCAATAGCTTGATAAGCTTCGCGACCAATGTGTCGATAGATTTGTGTCCCAATACAGCTAGCTCCCTTCACATATTGATTGTACAAAATTGAACGAGGAGAATGCGCCAGAAGTAGTTGTTCTCTAATAAATTTAGATATTTATACAACGCTTCATGTCTATCTCTGCTAATGGTGGAACAAATAGAGTTATAAGTATATTGCTCTCGTCATCTTTCCTACCGGCTCTCAACAGTTTCTATAATTGAACTAGTAGCCTATATATAAGTGCTTCTATAAGTGAACAAAGTAGCCCCCTCTTTGCTCTAGTTATTGTTCTAATAGAACAAGTAGAATTATTGCCCTGCAGGACTCGCGAAGGGTCCTCCGAATAGCCGGAACAGGCTGTAAGGAGTTCCTGCAAGGATTATGCACTCAAGATATGGATGATGCTTTTTCTCCCATTTAGGTCAGGTAACCATCTTCTAGGTTGGTAACCATCCTCTGGGTTGGTGCTCCTTTTCTCCTAGGTACAGATGGAAGAGAAAAAACGGCATTCATACACGATGTGTATCGGTTTTCGACGGATGGAGAGCTGTGGCCAGCCTTGTTCTTGAACCCAAAAGGGCGAATACTCTGCGACGTCATCCTGCAGAGGGAAAGCGACGACTCCTTTCTCGTAGACGTGCATAGCCAAGTGGCTCCAAAGCTGCTATTATGACAAGAGAAGTGCCTGCTTCTTACCGGTTCCTCGCCCAATAAGTAAATGTGCCAGGCGTGTAGACAGTAGTACAACAACAAATAAGCAGTACTACTTTTCTACGGATGACAAAACTATTCCTACTAAAACCAACATCGGGAATACACACATGACACTCTCCCGCTTCATGCACGGCCCATGCATCGTATTCTTTTCAATCTTGAGCATCCTCCACGTGACTACTCTGTGCTGGACTATTAATGGTACTACTAGCATCCTCCACGTGACTACTCTGTGCTGGACTATTAATGGTACTACTAGCATCCTCCACGTGACTATTCAGCAGCAGCACACAGACACATACTACTACATATATTGATAACCCTGCATGCTGCGAGCGCGGTAGCTCTAATGTCAACCCTCCTGCGACGGCACCGACTACGGCTTCCTATATTGCTTGAAGATGTGACCAGGGATTTCGTTGTGCTTGTTAGCATACTTAAGTTAAGGCACAGAAAAACCCAACCCTTTACACAGCCCATTCTTCTCATTCCCCTTTTACACAAGGGGAATCCATACTGGGTTGCTGGCGTAAGGTTGGGTTTTTCTCTTCGCTAATTAAGGCTAGACTCCCCCTACTTCTATCTGGTGTGGATAAGGAGGCTTGTTCCGAGTCGTGAACTCGGAAAGTAGAAGTTTCCCAGAGAACGCTTTGAGCAAACGAACTCACTCTACCAGGGATAGTCAGGAGTGTCTAGCGTTAAGATACCCGACGCGAGTCTTGGAAGTACTGAGTGGCTAGAGGGCGTCCCACCGGACGTTGCGTCTCGCCTGAAGGCCAGCAGCGATCCACGAACCTCCCAGCTAGGGAGCCGCCTCATTGTGCCCCGTGATACTTACTGCCAAATAAAACCGGCTCAAGTTAAGGCTCCTCGAAGATACAATTCATTTCCAACGTTGATTCTCTTCTGTTTCCTTCTTAGGATTCGGATAGGATGGACGAGAGGGTAGAAATGAATTGTTTTGAGCTCTAATCAAGAAGAAGTGGCAAGCAGTGCAGAAGCCTGGTATGGGCTTTTTCTTAGGTACTGAAGATAACATCGACACTCTCAGCGAGCGGTCTGGAGGTATTTTCTGTTGCATCAGTAAATCTCATTTACTTCAGGAACAATGGGCTCTTCTTCAGTCACTCGCTTGATAAACTCTGAAGTAGAACCGTTACTGCACTCGCTTGAGAAACTCTGAAGGAACTCCTGTGTCAGGCCTCTGAGGAAACTCTGAAGAAGAAGGAACTCTATGTGTCAGGATTTCTTCACTTGCTTCTCCGAGTGCTCGCTTCTAATGTCCGCCACACAATCGGAGTCCCGGAAGGCCCAGCAGAGCTTGTGCCAGAAAAAGCGTTACCGCAGAAAGCAAATTTGGATTTTCTCAACTTCATTAATTTCGAGAAAGTTACGATGTTGTGATTTTTTCAAAGAGATGAGAGGCCTTTTCTTAATGAATCAATATGGAATGCCGTTATTTAGAGGGGGCAAATATCAGAATAAATCGCAGGATAAGCAGAATTCCGATTCCGCAATTCATCACTGTCTTGAGAACAAAACCTCTCTCATGCTGCCTTCTCATTCCGCACATCCTTGACCTGCAGTACTGAACTAGATTCATCTGCAAAAAATATTAATGTTCAAAAATCACAGACAACTCAGCGAGTTCTTGAACCAATTCAATATACTTCTAAGAGGCTAGTACATCATCTAAGTAACGCTGCTATACCGGACAAGAACTGACGATACGGACGCATCATCGAGGCAAGGTTCGTCGTAGACTTGGCATCTTTCGCCTGAACGAAAAAGATGACGCGACCACGCTGCTAAGAAAACATAACCTTCTACACATAACCAATGGCCCTACCCTATCACGCGGCATTTTAAAGTCACACTTTTCTTTCTCAAACAGTAACATAGATATTTGATATGACAAGAATTTATTTACGAATTACTCCATATTAGTGTCGTATGCAGTTTTCCGTAACCTAGGAGCACAGTGCAGCCTGAGAACCTTTCCTGTCCTAGCCTAACCTGAGAGCCTTTCCTGTCCTAGCTACTAGCTTCATAGGAAAAGTGGAGCAATAGCGATGGCACTCCTCGATTGACGATGGACGACGTGAGAATGGATAGCGACGAGCTGACAGACAGTTAAGAGCCACGCTTTTTGCACAGATGATTTTTCCACTAGATGACTTTCCAAGAAAAAACGCAATGCTTAAGGAACGTATGATATCATCGCAGGTGTTGTAAACATCTTGTAACGCAGCTTTACTACTTCTGCAGGGGCTCATTGTGCAGGATCTGAGCTAACCCATTTGATGAGCTCCTCTCTTGGGTCGAATAGATTCAAGTCATCAGAACGGTCACAGCAAGTCATCATTGAATAGATTCAAGTCATCAGTGAAGAGCACGGGAACGTAAAAAGCACTAAGCTCACGCCGCAGCTGACACTGGGCTCGAAACTCGCGTAGGGAATCTAGCACTTGCTGCTGTCTTATGAACTGAAATTTGCAGGTCCTCGGACTAGAATTGACAGCACATAGAACCAAAAATAATAGTAAATTCTTCGAATTACAACATCGTCTTGCATGATTGTCCCGCCCTTCTAGCACTTTCATGATCGGTGCAGGACGAAGGGATGCATTCGAGGTCGGACGCGGCGGCCTGCTTCCGTGTCGCACAAAAGGAAGCGTTCACCCTAGGGTCTCACGAATGGAGCCTCTTCACTCCTCCCTTTTTCTTCGATCAAACGCCTGACTGACTCCCTTCTTCTTCGATTCCGGTTAGCACATTTTCGAACCAGTTGAGAAGCGAGTCGTTGACATAGAACTACAAGAAGAGTCATAATGCGTTTCCAAACATGCTTTGTTCCTACACCCCTACATCAGAATAATGGCTAAATGATGCTCTCCTCTCTACTTTGGAATTATCTCTCGGTCGATCGCTGGTGGGGTGTCGGAGTGTTTTTGGGGTATTGGTGTTTCGTACTCCTCCCCCCGTGGTGGACCGAACATGATCTATCCGAGCGTCCGGGTGGGTCGTCGGTCTTCCCCCTCGACCAGTGTCCCTTGTGAGACAGGCGCGGTCGTATGGTATCCCTTGTGAGACCAAGTGTCGCGACGCCAAGTGTCGCATTAAATAATCGGAAGTTTGTCTAGGTACTCTCCTCTCTACTTTGGAATTATCTCTGAGGACGCCAATCATCATCCGAAATACTTCATCATCATCTTGCTGACAGTATCCGATACTGAGTATCGGAGGACTCTCCGAGACGCCATATTGATGGAGTAGCCCCGCGCCTGTTGGACGATTTGGGTTGGCTGGTTGGTTGGTTGGTTGGATCGTCATTCCAACCAACCAACCAGCCGGGAGGATTCGGTAGCAGTCCTGATTGGGTCAGGCAGTTATAGCGGGAGCGAGTTGCGCCCATCGCGTCCTCCTTCCA